TATAATTCCAGCACTGGGAGAGGGGTTGGGATCAGAAGCCAGAGGACTCCTGAGCCTTGCTGGTGAACCAGTCTAGCTGTATCTATGAACTCTAAATTCAGCAAGAGACCCTTCCCATAAAGTAAGATGGTGAAAGAGGGAAATACCTGTCATCAAACTTTGGTCTCCACGTGCACACACACACACACACACACACACACACACAAATGTACACACATGTGCACACAGGCACTCCCATGCAAAGACATATGAATATGTTGTACAAACATGTACATAAATGTACAAACATAGACATACATCCAAAAAGTCATTGATATTAATTTTAATAAGAATACATTGAGTAGTGTTGCAATTTCATTCCTCTATGGAGAACTGTATGTACAATGATCCCTGATCTAAAGGAAACAAGGAGATAATGGGTTTGAAGACACAGACATGTGATTCAAGAAAAAAGTCCTTCAGTATTCTTGTCTGTTCCCTTACAGCTATTCCTCAACAAAATTCTTTAACAAAATCATTGGTGAACATTTCTTTTAAGTTCTGGGATGCTGATGAAAGCCAATATCCTTCCAGAGCATGGGCTTGGCTGTTAGTTTCACTGTGGTTTTCTTGAGCATGAGTATTAGGAAAAAGTACTTTTAGTTGGAGTTTCATCTCATATAATGGTTATCATGACACACATGTCAGGGTTAAAAAGTTACAAATACAAGCAGTGCTATACTTTTCGTTAAACATACTTTCTTTAAACATAAAGAGTAAGTAGTCCAGCCTGTTATACATATGTAATATGTAATAAATTATGTATAGTATAAGGACACTACTCTGTATAATCCATTTAATTATGCAATATATGTATTGTATACATGCATACACCCCTTATTGTTCTATTAAGGCTTCCGAGGAACATCTGGGCTAATTATACACCCCTTATTGCTCTACTAAAGCTTCTGAAGAACATATGGGCTAATTTAGGGACATGAGAGAAGAGTTGGAGATAGAATATTGGCATGAAGATATTTCAAGTTGAAGTTATTTGCTACTGTATATAAGACTACTGTATATGTCATTTTCCCATGATCCTCATACAAATACATTGGGGGAAGCATCCTTTTTCCATCTCTTTTTTGGACACCCCTCCTTTGATCTTTCCACTTCTTTCATGATTGAAATTTAAAAATTAGTTTTTATTTTTTTCTACAAATGAAATCCTGGAATTTTGATATAACTGTCCACCTGCTGTCTAAGAGCTTGAAAGCCAGTTGCTTTCAAAGGACCAGGTACAGGTGAAATCTTATGTGGAATGGAAGTAGTAAATCAGAGGTCTGGATGCTTGCTATACTTTAAGAAATTAAGATGAGACTGCATAATGTTAAACCAGGTTAGCAATAAAGTCATTCTCTCATTGCAGGAGTTTATAGATTAGAGATTAGCATTCTCTGGGAGGACCTAGGAGTATATTTGTGATCATTAAAATTGCCTTCTCTTGTCATGATCCTTGGAAATGCAAAAGAAGTCCAGACCCAGAATCCCTGACCTACGGTATTGCAGAACTACCATTGACAACTCTGGATCCTGGATCCTGACTTTGCCTCTGTCTAATATGCTTTCTAACTATAGATAGTTATTTTTGCTAAGGGTATAGGGCTTTAGAGTTTTACTCTTCTTTGAAAGATAGAAGTATGCCTGTGGGACCAAAGATGCTTAACTTTTGCTAATGTGGTACTAACTGGTATCGTTATGTTACAATATTAATCATAGTTAAAAACTTCAAAGCATTTTAATTTTATTTTTGCATCCAACTTTTATTTATTTACTGTCTTACTGTTATCATGTATATGTTCTTGTAGGAAATAGCTTCCCTGAAATACTCTTGACTGTCAAAGTTGAAAATTGTCATGCCTGCATGTCAGGGGACTGAGAATCTGTGGAGGGTGTTAGGATTAACAGCACAGGACTCTTGCTTGATGTTAAGAAGGCTCTTTTTCGTTTATTTTACTCTGGAGGCTGGCTTATATACCCCAGCACCAGATGGAAGAGTGGGAAGAGGAGGGGGCGGTTAGTCATCTCAGGTTCCAAGGACTGGTTAGGCGCTTTCAGAGTTGTGGAAGCCAAAGGAGCATTTTGCCTTAGAAAACATGTTGTTGTTTTCCTGAGGTTACAGCTGCCTGCCCTGAGGGCAGCAGGGGGAAGTGAATTCTTATCCAAGGTCTTAATTCCTACATAAAACAGTGTGTCACTGCATTTTACTTCATTTCTCCTTCATGACTGACAGTTCTGTCCTTTTCATTCATTTTACATTAGATGAACTATTAAAGAAGTCTACTTATAACCTTTCACACCCCGCGTGGTGTGTCTATGGTGTGTGTATGTGTGTGGTGTGCATGTGCCATTTGGTGTGTTTATGGTGTGTGTGTGTGTGTATGTGTGTGTGTGTTGGGGAAACATGGGCCACTGTGTGCATGTGGAAATCAGCGGACAGCTGGTGGTAGTCAGTTCTCTCCTTCTATTACGTGGTTTTCTGGCATTGAACTTAGGTGTTCACATTTTTTGGCCTGTTTCTTTATCTGCTACACCATCTTACAGGCCTTTAACTGACTCTCCTCAAGTCATGTAAGGGTCAGGAGAAGTGGGGAAGTCTCCAAGTGTAGCCCCATTTCCATTCTGCTGCCTCCTCCAACATGGCCACACCTAATCCTTCCCGAACGTTTCACAAATGAGAGCTGAGCATTCAGATCTGAGTTTTGAAGTCCGTTCTCATTTGAACCAGCACAGTAGCTAAGGGCAGTGGCAAGGGGATGTGGGTGGTCGCATAGCTCTTTGACATACTTATTTCATTTCTTTTGATAATATACTTAGTTGTGAATGGTTGAATCATAGGAAAGTAATATGTTAAAAGGTTTAAAGGATACTTAATAGTTAAAAAAAAAAACAGTGGCTGTGTTAATCCCCACTAGCAGTACAGACAAAATATCTTGTACATCCTCAGAAATACTTTGTTTGATTCATCATTTTGGTAAAAGCCCTCTTGGCAGGTAGAACCTGACATTTCATGTTTGTTTAACTTTTATATTTCTGCTGATTAGTGGTGTATAGTATCTACAGTAGCTGAGCATGGGCATGTCTGCCTTTTAAGAAATGTCTACTCCCTTTCCACTGTTTGAATCTGTGTATTTGTTTTCCTAATATTGCATTGTTTGAGTCTCTTACATATTTTTGGATATTTACTTCTTAGCATATTTTTTTTCATAAGCATCTCTTCTTGGAAGAAGATTCCTTTTCTACTGCACTGTCTTTATACTAATAACAGAGTCTTCATATATACATAGATCTATTTCTGAATATTTTGTATTCTGTTGTTTGTGTAATTTTCTCTCAATACAAACTGCTTAATTTAGTTGGAACTGTCATTCATATATTCTATATCCTTAACGAAAGTTTGTCTCCATGTCCTATCAGTTGCTGAGATCAAACTTAGTCTCCAAGTGTGTTTTCAGATATTGTAACTCCTTCCAGCTCTATGCATGAGCTTTGTATATCTTACAGATCTGTTGCTAGATGCATGTACATTTATGTATATTGTGTTAATTTTGGAAATATGACCTTTCAAAACTTAATAATATTCCCTTATTGATTTTTTTGAGATTTACTTTAATATTAATATACCCGTTTTCTTTGTTAAGGTTCTGCATGTATCTTTTATTGGTCATTTTATTTTTTATTGCCTTTATACATAAATAGATTTTGTTTATAGTATGCAACTTAGTCCTAGTGTTACAATCCAATATAATGAATAATGTTTGTTTTAATTTTTATATAAAGTTTAAATTTATTGTAATTATTACTATTGTATTTCAATTTACATTATAGCTATTTTACTTGTTGAGTTCCTTGTGGGTTTTTTTCTTTCTTTACACATAAATTTGAGCTTTGCATTTAAGTTTATTCTTGAATTATATATTTTTATTTTAAACATTTTAGTCATTGATCTAGGTTATATCACATATATCTTTAATTAATTAGTGTCTACCTTTAAATAGCATAATACCTAACATATCGTATACCAACTTTCTTTTTAACCACTTATTTCACCTCTGGAACTCTGTATGTGTATATATGGTCTCTTAACATGTTTTGAAAATGTAGTAAGACTTTTCTTAATGTAACAACTGTGGTGCATCAGGCCTGACTTCTGGCTGTTGAAGGCTTATTTTTCTCAGGTCCCTGGCACATGTCTGATTTTTTGCAATTCTCTGTTTAGTTACAAATCCTGTAAATACAGGACCATGCACTGAATATGTCATCAGAAGTCCTTCTGCTTGGTCTTTAGGGTCTAAAAGGCCTAATTCAAACCTATCTTATTCTAACACATTTCTGAAAGTTCTTTCTCAAAGTTGAAACTTAAGTGAGCATGACCTATAGTTCCCTTCATGTCTGTTTTCTTACTCTTTTGCTTTGTGTATGGCATAGGGACGTGCAGACCATGCTGTTATTTGTGAAGAGCTCTCATCTACCACCACACACACATGAAAGAGCTAAGGATTCCCTTCTTATTTTGCTCTCCTCAACAGATCACAAAAGGGTGGTGGTGGGGACCACTTCTAGCTCCTTTACCAACTTGAAGATGTGAAGACAGTTCAGTCATAACGAGAATGCTGATCGGAACCTCTCCCCAAAGCTTTCTGTGTTTTTTTTTTTCACTCCAAACATGTACTTTTAGGGATCCTGGGACTCCAGTGTTTGGCTGATCTTGGAAAATGTTATTTCCTGAGGACTTGGCCCTGGATGTTCTGCTTCACGTCAGAAAGCAAAGCCAGTAAAAGTCCTAGAATTTTCTGAGAAATTTCAGTTGTGAAGAAAATACTCTTGCCATCTTGGGCCAGTATCTAGGACTTATGAACCCTTGGTAGTCATGAGCATATCTGCAATAGACACTTTCAAGATTTCCTCTTTAAGTTGTGTCCAAAGCATAACATTTTCTTTTTGTCTTTTTCCCCCTCAAGGGGTGCTACATCCATTGTGTACAGATGCAAACAGAAGGGGACCCAGAAGCCCTATGCTCTCAAAGTGTTAAAGAAAACAGTAAGTTTATTTCATTATATAATAGTATATATGAAAGACTGAGAAGCGAGAAAGCTGGCTCAAAAATTAAAGTGGGCATGAAGAAGCCAATTGTCTGGTGGAAGCCACATGAGAAAGTCACTGGTTTTTACACTGGATATGATTTGTGGAGAGAAGGATGGAAAGAAAGGGAAAATATTAGAGCCAGGGATTAAGTGCTTTGTATGTGAAATGTGCCCTTGGATATATGTGCATATTTATGGACTGAGATTACAGCCTGCATTTTAATATGCTAGAGTAGCCTGTGACTTAAAATAAGATGAAGTGAAACTTAAATGTCTATATTTTGAAAGCAATTATCGTCTTCTAACCTGCCTTGGTTTTCTAAGCTTGGATGTGTTTTAGAGATGCTCGACTGGATAAATGTTTTGCTTCTTAGGCTAGGCCTTCAAGGTTAGACAAGAAAATAGTTTTTGTTCTAAAGTGTCACTTCATTTGTCTAAAGCTCATGTTTCCGTGTCTCAGGCTCCTTTGTAATGATCATGAGAAGACTGGAAGCCTGTGAGGTCACATCTTGGGTGGTGTTCTTATGTGATACTCTTTCAGCTGTATGGCCCTTCTGTTCTTTTCTGTTTATGAGTTAGATTCTGCTCATAAAACTACAAAAGGACAAGACACACTTTATAGCACAATGTTCCTTTGTCAAATTTTATGTGAATGGATATGGGATGTATGTGGATTTCTGTCCCAAAGAGAGATGTGTCAGACATTTCAGTGTCCATAACCTTTTGCAGGCCAAGGGAGGCTTCAATCCCCCAAGGGCAGCTTGTGTTCACCAGCTGTTTATGTGTTGTCTAACATAGGGAAATCTTACAGTTTCATGTAATGAAGAACTCAACAACACAGGATTTTAGCCAACTAGAGATAAAATGATAGTTTTCAAATAGTCTGTTAGAATTCTAAGCTGTAGCAAAAAAAAAAAAAAAAATCCTACAGTAAATCAGAGTAGATAGCAATTTAAATGGCAACTACTACCCAATAACTTCACAAATTAAGTTTTCTAATTGATATTAAAATTTCTTAAGTCAGTCCCAGATGTGCAGGAATATTTTAATTAATGTTTGTGACTTTTTACATACCAAATTCTTCATCATAAAATTTCCTGAACTAAGTAGTATTTAAAATGTTTTGAAATGTAATTTCCTATTCAATATCCAATGGTAGTGTACCTTGACAGTTGATGTACAAAGGGTTGCAAATTCCAGGCCAGAGTTGGCTACACACTGAGTAACATCTAAGAGGTGGGCGGAATTTCCTGAAAGCCACCAGAGAGCATGTGGATGGGAACCAAGTGTCGGGAGGAGCTGCAAGGCAGAAGATATCAAACACGGTTAGTTACTGCTGTGCCAAATGAGATGAGAAAACAACCCCTGGAGGAACCTTGGCTTTGGATGTGAGCTGGATGGGATCCTCAGTTTTGTCTTTTGGGATAAACCATGCTTGGAGATGTGTAAATGAGAGAAATAGCAGGCAAAGCCACAAAAAGCAAATTGCCTCCAGTATTTACTTTCATATAGGTCATGGGATAGAAACTTCCCTTTCTGAGGTAAGGGATGGCTGCTATGAATCTGTTTACAGAGCAAAGTAATTAAGAGGAAATATTTTCTTAGAGCATTTAGCAAAGATTTTGTACCTCAGGACAAAAAAATTGGGTTGTTCAGAAAGGTTGGCTTATTTATGTACTCTCTTATGTCAGTTCACATAAAATTGCCTCAATTAAAACATTTCTGACCTAGAGTCTATGGGGCCACATAAACATCATTGAATACTTCCTAATATTCTCATTTAATGATTAAGCATAAACTTAGGAGGCTTTGAATTTAGTCTGCCTAAAACTATGTATCATCTATCTATCTATCTATCTATCTATCTATCTATCAATTCATCCATTGATGTATGTATGTATGAATCATCTATCTATCAATCGATCAATCTATCATTTATATCCATCCATCCATCTATTCATCCATCTATAATCTGTCTGTCTCCATCCATCATCCATCTAACCATCATCCATTCATCCATCCATCCATCCATCCATCCATCCATCCATCCATCCATCTATCCATCCTTATCATCTATCTTGTCTGTCTCCATCCATCATCCATCTAACCACCTACCTTCTGTGTTAAATTAATAGAGATGGCAAATCAACTACTAACATGTGGTGGCTTAAAAGGATATACATTTGTTTTATTCAGTTCTGGAAACTAAATTTCCAAACCCAGCATTGTCAGAGACAGTTTCTTCTGAGGCCCTGAGAGAAAATCTTCTCCATGCCTCAGGCATCTGATGGCTGTAACCCATCCTTAGTGTACATTGACTTGTAGATCACCCCTCCAGTTTCTGCCCCTGTTGCAAAATGGCTGACTTTTTCTTATATTTTTCTGGTAAGGTAGGTGTGTGGCACAGTGTTATTCATCTTGTAGGAATACCAGTGCTGTTGTGTGGGAATGACTGTATCATAACTAACTACGCCTGTGGTAACACAGTTCTGCCAATCATATTATCAGATAGGATAAGGTTAATTTCAAAGTAGCCTATCTAATATTGTATCTGATGATGAACATTTCATATTAAAATGTTCATAAAAACAAAGAAATTTGCCTTGCTTGTAAGTAAGTGGTTCTCAAACTGTGGGTTGTGACCCCTTTGAGGGTAGACTGTCTTTTTCACAGGATTTGCCTAAGATCATTAGAAAACACAGATATTTACATTATGATTCATAGCAGTAGAAAAATTACAGTTATAAAGTAGCAATGAAATAGTTTTATGGTTGTGGTCACCACAACATGAGGAACTGTATTAAAGGGGTGAACTATTAGGAAGGTTGAGAAGCACTGTTCTAAGTGATTAACTTAGAGTCTATAAGTGATTAACCTACTATAAAAACGTGCAAAGTAAAAAGGTTGTTATCTCCTTGTAGAGTTAATTGTTTAATAAAAATAATTACGTTTCTCAGGATCTGTTTAAATCATTTTATAACAATATTGTTTCTTTCTCATACCTTAACACTTTTGAAATTATCTTTATTCTATTCAATAAGAAAATTATTTCCTATTCAAAAGTTATAATCATCATTGAGAATCTATCCCACACTCAGATCTTTGGGTGATAGACAAATGCTTGGTTTTCCCAGAGGAATATATACTAAAGCATTGACTCTTATGGACAATTTCATGTGCTGCTGATAATACAAACAAAACAGAACTGACAATGAGCACACAGCAAACTCTCATGTTTAGACTAGTGGACATTGGTCCTTATAAAATATCCTTGTGGGAAATTAACATGTAATTATGTTAAGAAAACCTTTATTAAACTAACATATACTTTATATATGTCTATAGCACCATGTACTTTCTATGTACATAACTAAATTTCAAATAATTAAAATACATTAGAACACACATTTACCAGTGTCGTAATAACTTTAATTATGTACATGGTCAAACAACAAAAAGGTATGTGAGTTTATGTGTATATATATATATAGGCACAGAAAAGGAGGAAAATATGGCAAACATCGACAGTTATTGAATGTAGGACACAATAATAGCATTCATGATGGTGTGTTAGCATTTCAGCACACATGAATATTCATTTTCATGATGCAACTTTGGAGAAAAGCACCATTGAACATTTCGTATATTGAAAACCACCTGAGCACTTCCTGTAGTAATAGGCATTTATCTTATGATGGGGTTAAAATTTAAACAGTCAGAATAAACAAGGGAAGAATAGGGGTTGGAGTATTTTTTCTAAAGCCCCCCTCCCCTCCACACCACGCACACTCAGTAGTATACACCACTGTGGTGGAAAAATCTACTCAGTAGGTGTGACTCTCCTCCCCTCCTTCTGCATGGGCATAATCTAGTTTTTAACCTTTTTATTTTTAGCAGTATTAGGCTCACTGAAAAATAGCACTTCATTCCTCATAAATACCCCATTATCTCAAACATTAGAACTAACTGGCTTACAATTTCCATTAAGGTTTTTTTCTTTTATAGACTTTCTAAGTTATAAATCAAATATGAAGAGAGAATTACTTGTTGGTAGTGGATGCCCTTACAATTTCTGACACTTCCTTGCTTTGCTGGTTGTGCAGATATGATTATACTTTGATTTTCTCTTTATATCTGCCAAATAAATAAATATACTTTTCAACAACAGCAAACTCACACTCAAGACTGTATGAAAGCAAAGAGATAAATTCAAGTATCAAAATTTGAACATATTAAGCTTAACATATTCATCATTGACTAAATTTTGCTAGGTTAAATGGGATCTCTACTTTCAAATAATGGCACGGGGACAATGGAGTTGTGTTTCAGGGGCAATCCATGTAGATAGAAGTCAGCTTTTATCCTTTAAAAAATATATCTCAGCATCTATAAGACTCTGTAAATACAGCTTGTTTTCAAAATAAATAGCTTGATAGTTAAGCAATGTATGTTCACTGATGATTTATACTCTCTGGAAATTTAGAGACTGATAGAAAAATTCCAGAAATCAGATATCATCTCCAGCTGTGTGGCTCAACACCTGGGGAGGTTATACTCTTTTAACTGTAAAATTCATTCTTTCACTAAACAGCCAGTATCAAATCTTTGATACTTGTCTTGGTGTAGGCATTCGGAATGCATGGGTGTTTTGACTCTCATCAAAAACCGTTGTGCAGCTGTGACATCCAATCATAGACTCCAGAGTCAGAGACACTGTGTTTGATCACTTCCACTATTACTTTCTGTTTGCCTGTACACATCATAGACCATTGCTCAATCTCTCTTTCAGCTGTAAAGTGAGTTTAATCTCGTGAAGACTGAAGCGAGATAGCTCATAGAAAATATTTTCCATCTCACAATAAGCATGCCATCAATAATGCACACAATTTTAAAGAGTTTACTGGAGGCAGTCCACAAAGTTACTTTATCATAATAGAAGTTAGTGATACGCAGTTC